TAGATAATATTGCTTGAAATTCTGTTATTGTTCCATGAAATATTTTGATTATTTTACTGAAATTTGAAAGGAATACAAATTTAATATTTATGAAGAAATCCCTTTTAGATTAATGGGCACAAATTCGCTACCCCCCCCCCCAAAAGGAGCTCCATGGGAACGAAGATGTGTGTGGCTTCAGAAGAGGGTCTACTTCGTAGGAGATTAAATGACGCATTGATATGTGTTATACTTTTGTAATACCAGTTCTAATTATGGGCTCTTGGCCAAGAACGTTCGCATTCTGGTCTAGGTTCGAATTTCAACATAGTCGATTTGTTAGGAAGGAGGCTTCCTGATATCAGATCGATCCCAGCGTGTAATCTAACTGGATCCCAGCGTTCTGCACCTTTGGAAAGTGCCTGAAAATCATACCACGGTTTGACCCAAGCCTTGTGAACCCTCGGGAGCCGTCAATAGCTTTGATAGCTCGAAGTCACAAGTCATCGTGGCCGAGCCTGCTGGCCTTGTTCAAATTGTTGATCACGCTAGATAACACGCTCTTTCTAAGAAACTGTAACTAAGGTCTGCTCAGCATAGTTGCAGTATAAACCACAGTTGGGCTCTGTGGGTGTTGAATGAACACAAATGCTCCTGAGAAAGCGCCTGCAATAAGTTTACTATACACCTGCATTTATCATGACATTTACATGTTTACATCAGATGACACGCTCTGTCGGCTGGGGCTGTAGAATATGCTGACTGCACCTCTGCAGAGGGTAAATCTCTCCAATTGGGCGTTCCGGGTATGACGATAAACTACATCCGCGTCCAGGGTATGACAATAAACTACGTCCAACAGCAAGGCCTCTGATCAGGAGGTTTTGAGGAGGGTGGAACCACCTCTTAATTGCTGGTATTCCCAGAACCACCCTGACCCAGGGTGGTAGCACTTGTTAGGGTCCCAGCTATGGGCAAATAGTTAACCCCGAAACTGAGTTAAAAAGCATTATAAAAGTGTGAAAATAGGTTTTAATACCAGAAATACTTTGAAAAAAATTATTACCGAAATTAATTTTTGAAAAAAGAAAAAAAACTATTACCAGCAGTACGTTATTAAAGAAATATATATTACAAGCAATACATGTGACTGTACTCAAAAATATAAGTAATCAAAAAATGTTTCAAATATATATGTATACATACACACTTTTTTTTTTTACCAAAGTATCGCTATGTATCTATTTAAAAAATTTTAATGGCATTAAATGACCCACTGAGGTTTATATGCCATAAAACAAAACAACCAACCAAATCAGATGACAATTGTTGAAAACTGATCGAATAGTAAGTCGCTTCAAATATCCAGCACCTTTCTCAACATCCTTACGGTGTTTACTCGTTCCCCTACCAGAACGAGATGTGACACAAGGTCGTTTTAAAGTGGAGACTCGAGCGCGTACACTCAAGCAAGGGACAAAAATTCACCACAGCCCCCGCAACTGTCGGTTGCGCTGGCATCGGTGCGAGCACCGATCCCTCCCTCTGGTGCAATGGGAGCGCGTGGCCTCGGTCAGCTGCTTCCCTGGGCTGGGGCACCTCTCAGTATTATTTGCTCAGTTGCCCCTCTGTCCAATGTACGTAGCTTTGTGGGCTCCAGGTGGAGTCTGGAATGGTGTCACTAAGGAATGTAACTCACAGTAATATCTGCCAGGAAACTAGGGACAGAGTAGCGATAGGTTAGAAACATTTCGTCGCAGGGGAAAGTCGTTGTAGGATGGAAAACAATGGAAAATTGAACAATTGTGGCAAAATCTAAGCTGCTTTGATGAAAAGATTATAAAAATGAGTAAGGATGGAGTTTCTAACACAAGCTTATCATATCTCAGAGGGGCAACTGAAAATAAATATTAAAATAAAATAATCTTGAGAGGTGCCCAGCCCTGGGGAACAGCTGTCCGAGGCCGCGCCCTTCCATTGCACCAGTTTAGATTTTGCCACAATTTTTTAATTTTCCATTGTTTTCCATCCTACAACGACTTTCTTCTGCGACGAAACTTTTCTAACCTATCGCTATTTTGTTCCCATTTTCCTGTCAGATATTACGTTGAGTTACATTCCTTAGTGACAGCATTCCAGACCCCACCTATAGCCCACAAAGCTACGCGCATTGAGTCTACTTATTCTCATTTCTTTCGTATTCCATTAGTAAGAAAAAACTTCCATCAAAAAAGGATTTCCACAGAAGTGTTCTGTTGTGTAACATGTTCCTGAAAGGATGCTTTCTAGTCTTAACTATTTGAGCCCTGACCACCGCTTTACCGGTAGTAGAGAAAAATGACGTAATGCCCAGTCGCCGGTTGAACGGTGGTAGAGAAAAATAACTTATTGCCCACCCACCGTTGGACGGTGGTAGAAAAAATGACGTAATGCCCAGTCGCCGGTTGAACGGTGGTAGAGAAAAATGATTTATTGCCCTGCAACCGGTTGTATGGTGGGTAAACACTTGTAAGTATTTTTATATCTACCGTGAAACATGACACACCAATTATTTGACTCCTGAGCTCAGAATTGTTCAGAAACGCAGGGTTCAAAGGGTTAACTTCTTGTTTATCTATTCTATATATCTTCATGATATGCCATTATTATTCCCTCCTTGTACGCCATTACAACAGACTTATTCTGTAGCTTTCTACCTTGAGTTGCTCTTGAGCCTTGTATTTAAACAAGAGTATTAAAAACATTATGAGTACAAGTGTCTTTCTACGTTTCAGGGCATGTTTCACTTTGGTGCTTAGATTAACGTACATTTGTAGGTTTTTTTTTTGGTTTTTTTTTCATTTTCACTCCGTTGTGTGTTATATACAATGATACAACACAACGTTTAAAATGAAGTCGGTGTACTTGTGCTTTTATTGTAGTTACGGTCGTATTATGGATGTAAGTTCTTCCTTCAACGAAGTGCCTTATTTAGAGAATTACAAATGTCTGCTCTTAAAATGGCACCCATAAAAATATACCTACTCGAGATAAACAATCAATAGCGTTTCCTCTTTCAAATATGGCTTCCATAAAAACGGTTGTCTTCACTGCTTGCAAAGTTTTGGTGGGATTTGTTCGTGTCGGACATTAACTTATCGACCAACATTTTTGCATTACCTAATATGGTATGTAGGCTACTGGTTCGGATAGAATCCCTGTAGTTGTTCTTAAGAACATTAGGCCTGTGTTTATCTCTAAGTTTAGGAAAGGTTTTTAACTGTTGCCTGAAGGAGAAATGTTTCCCAAGTCTATGGAAAGTGTCAGCAGTACACCCTGTTTTCAAAACTTCAGGTTAGCGCTCGTCGTGGTCGCAATATCACCCCATCCATGATACTACAGTGTACGCATACCACCAAAAATCTTCATTACCAGAGCCTGGTAGCCAATCTCTTCTGTGACATAACTAATACAGTAGTTCAAAAAAGTGCCGCGCGCTTCATAGGTACGGCAAAAATGGATAGCAGGTGAGGCGGAATGATTGCAGGAAAATCACACGTTTAGAAACAAATTTTTAAAATTCATATGCCAAAAATAAATATTATTTTAAAATTTAAAATATTATTATAGAATACTTGTAATTGCATACATGAGTCTCAGTATAAATAGTTATGAATAATTATTGACTAATTTTACCATCGTGATATTTTTGCATTATATCAAGTATTAAGAATATAGTAACTAGGTCTGCAAATTGGATGAGAGAGTTATCAATGATAATTTCTGGCTTCATATCCGCGGTTATCTCCGTTTAATCCTCTATCTCTCGCTTTTTAAATTTATAAATTTACTTTTTATCACATAAAATATGGTGAGGCCCGAGGAAATTACTATTCCGAAAATGCGGCCCAGAGAAAAACAGTTTGAAAAGTACAACGGAAGAAAAACTGTTTCGTCTCCCAAACCAAGCGAGTGACGTTTCATAATCATTGAGTAGACTCGGCCTTTTCTCTTGTCATGAAGAACACTTCTCTTCCCAATAGCGCTAATATTCTATTGGTAGCTCCGAACTCATATGTACGATCCTATCGCTAAAGACGTCAGAAAAATAGTCGAATCGCACCAAAAACTACCGGACTTCTCCTAACATGCTTTATATTTACAAAGAGATTATGTCAGATTAAAAATAGAGTATGGATGACATATTTGAGATATAGATGTGAAATCTTCACTTAACAACCATGACAGATTTCAAAAAGCGTCTACGTGACCTTGTGGGTGATGAATTATTTTCAACCCTACGATGCCTTACTCACCGACGAAACGTCACAGGTCTTTCGTTAATCTATTTTTATTTCGATGGAAAATGTTCTGACGAGCTACATTCCACCTGTTCAGATGTTTACAACTAAGACCCGCCATGTCACATCCACAGAGTCGAATCACCGTCATTTCCTTCGTCTTCCGTTACTAATAAAGTAATTTCTTTCAGAGAGCTTCTTCCCTACAACCGATAATTTGTGGAACATTGATTCGTTTGCTTGCATTATTTACATTACTCGAACTTTTATCCTCGCCTTCATTGCCATATGCACAACGTTTTGGCCGTTGCAAGTAATCATAATACCTCATTTCAGAGATATAGACAGCTACATAGAGAGACATAGACATAAAGACCGGAGCGTACAACGGCCGAAACGTTGTGAATATGAGGATAGCTGTCCGAATAATGTAAATAATGCAAGTCAGCATAATACAGAGAGTTAATGATTCGTTTTTTTTGTTTTTTTTGTTTGGCTTATCAGGTTATTTAAATCCAGAAAATATTTTTAGATTATAAGAATTGTTTTTTTTTTTTTGTTTTTTTTTTAATAATGCTTTAGTGATACAAATCTTACTAACTAATCACAGGCAGATGAGGTGGATTCATATCTTTGCCAAGGATATTTACGCGTAAGAGAATATAACGAACCCAATGGGAATTGAAACTCACCTTACTGATTAAAAATTCCATTATCCGTTACACCACCCGCACATCCAAGCTTACAGCACCTGGTATTCGCCAGTGGTCACCCATCTAAGTGCTGACTAGGCTCGACTTTGCTTAACTTCGGTGATTGTACGGAAACCCGTATTTCAATGTGTTCCATATATGAGCCATTTTATAGAACAGAATCCCGGGTGGAGTCTTTCCTGATCACAAACTCTTCAAGTCTCGGGATAATTGTTATCTACTTTCAATAAAATTCATTCACTGGCATTCCAACTTGATTAACCCTTAGGCCTTGTACTGAGTGAAAAAAAACTGCCCTCGTGTTTCTAGATGAAATATCCTGCTTCTAAACCCAATAGCAAGGATTCCGGGACAACTGATGCGGCTAATAAAAGGTTAATCCGAGAATAATTCGTTTTTCTCTTTTGTTTCTGGATGTGTGATATTTTTCAGTAATTATTTCTTTCCTTCAGACTCTGGACACCGTTTTTTGAGCTCATATGAGTAATCCTTAAGGATGAAGAAGAGACTCGAGGCGGCGAAGATGTGGTTCTACAGAAGGATACTGAGGATAACATGGACCGAGCGTGTGAGCAACGATGAGATAGAGAGGGTGCAAACAAGGAGGAGGCTTATACTTAACATCAGGAAGAGGTAGATGAAAATTCTGGGGTAAGTGATGAGAAAGGAGGGCCTGGAGAGTCTGATACTCACAGGACAAATAGAGGGGAAAAGAGACAGGGGAAAGCAGCACATGACATACGTTGCGGGCTTGGGCAGGTGGATAACGGAGCGTGGTCTGGAGGCGTTGGCAAAAACGCAAAACTTGTTGAGAGCCACAAAGGATAGGGAGAATTGGAGGGCCGTGATCGCTTATGTCTTGATTAGCAACGAACTACAATAGTAGGGCATAAAACGAACATTTCACTAGATATTCGTTTGATTTCCGGCGGGCATCTTCATATAGTGACTAAACTTAGTTGAACTTTGCACAGAGGCCACGATATTGTGACACACAGTGAAAATCAAGCTCTTTAGTCTATGTCTGTGATTTAACATGACTTGCGGTTTCTCTACTGCAATCACCGGAATTTATTTTCGAAATTTAGGTTTTTCTCGAATCCATTACATTCACTTACATACTAATACCCTTGGGAAAGGTATAAATCTTATTTTTCTCTCCCCAGCTATGGGTAAATAGCAGAACAGACCGGGTTCTATAGCCTTAGATGGTAACTAGTCTACTGCAGAAAGAAATGGCAACTTAAAGCGGGAAAAAATCTGCCTCGTCAGTGATGAATCGAAAGATACATGATCGCCTAAGCGTGTATCACGCATGGGACATCAGTGGCTGACCCTTGGGAAAGGTATGAATCCTCTTCTCTCACCAGCTATGGGTAAATAGCAGAACAGACCGGGATCTATAGAAAAAAAAATCTGCCTCATCAGTGATGAATCGAAAGATACATGATCGCCTAAGCGTGTCATGCATGGCACATAACTGACTTTATCGCCATAAGGAAGAAATAAAACAATAAAAAATTAAGAAAATGAAGAATCAGAGAGATGTGTTGGAAGAAAATTAAAGAGGAAGAAATGAAGCAAGGAGAAAAAAGTAAGAGAGAGAAAGAGAATAAGTGAGACAGAGAAAGTGAGATAGAGAGGGAAAGTAAGAGAGTGAGAAAAAGAAAGAGTGAGAAAGATAGAGGGAGAGGGAAACTAAGAGAGTGAGAAAGAGAAAGAGAGAGAAAGATAGAGAGAGAAGGGAAGTAAAAGTGGGAATGAGTGAGAAAGAGTCAGGCAGATAAAGAGGAAAAGTAACAGAGTGAGAAAGAGATTTTAAGAGAGATGGAAAGTAAGAGTGTGTGTGAGAGAGAAAAACAGATAGAGAACAAAAGAGAGATGTAAAGTAAGAGATTGAGAAAGAGAGAGAAAGAGAGAACAAGATAGAGAGTGAGAAAGAGAGTGTGAAAGAGAGCAAGATAGAGAGAAGCAAATTAAAAGAGTGTGTGTTTGTGAGAGAGAGAGAGAGAGAGATCAATACTTGATTGCAATTGAAGCTTTTATATTTCCCATTATAAAAATCGAATGATTGCTTTTCGGCTGTCGCAACCGGATTTTGCGTCAAATGTTTTCCACGCCGCTTGTTCGCGGTGTGAAAGATAATCCCCTGGTCCCGGATTAGAATTTTATTTAATCCTTGCCAAAGAAACTCGGATTTATATAGGCGGCAAATTATGCATTCCCCTCGGCACTCCGTCAAGAACCACCTCTTCAATTCATCCCCACTTCCTCCTTAGCCACTAGCATGATAAAAAGGAAAGAAAATAATTCTGTATTGATTGAAGAGGAAAGAAAAATAAGAAAATAGCTTTACAGGTTAATGGGAACAGGGCGGTTGTATCACTTTAATGGCGTCGGTGGATGGAAAAGAGGCTAGAATTGTGGTACCAGTTTGTGACGGAAGACGACCTGATGGCATACGCTGGTGGAAGATACGATGACGATAATGTCAAAAGAGAAAAGTAAAAGCGAAAAGAAAAAAATAAGTAAATGATTACAAAAAAAAAATGCTTGAGATATTATGAATGTCTTTCCCCAATTTATATCTTACATTATGTAGTGTTATTGGAGTTTCTGTGCCTATCGACCTAAAAAAAAATGAACACCCTTAGAAGTTAAGCCATGGTGAGGCTTCATGGTCAAAATATTGTAAAATAGATAGAAATACAACAACTGGTACGTTTCATATTCTTGGGAAAATTGTCATTGTAAAAGTGCTTGAGACTTAGTTTTCTCAGTGGTTTCCGAAGTAGAACACTTGTGAGTCAGCATGATAATTGAATAGTATATATATATATATATATATATATATATATATATATATATATATATAAAATTGTGTATATTTAGGCAGCAATTTTTCATTAATGTATGATTCATTAAATAATATAGACAAGTTTTTTCTATTTAAGCAATGGTATTGGTGATATCATAATAAGTGATTAAATGATTTTTAGGGAAAAAAATCATTTAATCGCCAGTTCCTTATAATCTCCTGAAGAAGTACAATCATTATATTGAAACATGACAGCTTTTGTGTTGCGATTTCAACATGTTTTATTATAATCTCTTATAACAACAACAATAATAATAATAATAATAATAATAATAATAATAATATATATATATATATATATGGTATATCAGAAATAATTTTAAAACTATGGAGCGTGATATACATATATATATATATATATATATATATATATATATATATATATATATATATATATATATATAACGCTAAATGTTATGGGATAGATGCCTCATCTCATGTCATATCCCTTCTGTTTCAATGAAGTCCATCGATTTTGTGCCATCTCGTTTCTACAGATATCTGATATTTGTAAATCCACAGATATTTGATATTAGTAGATACATGATCTTCCATGTCAATGGATATTTTCAGCAGATCCCATAAGTGTTCGGTTAGCCTAATTTTAGGGAAATATAATGTGCACTCCATTCGTCAGATATCTGAAGAATGCCTCTCAAAGTAATTCTGCGCAATCTTGACCCAGTGTTAGAGTCTCTTATCCTGTTGGTGTTGCACAATTTTAGTGAGATAATAGTACCCGTGAATGACTGCAAATGTTTACTAAGCAGGGCAAAGTCGCGATCACCGGTCACTGTTTAGGGGACAACTTGTGCCTTGTTGACACCTGGGGTCAGACATCTCGTATTGTAAATTCACTCATTGTAAAATGATAATAAAAATGATTGCTTTATGGACATTAAACTTTTACTTTATGAGGATATATAAGATAAAGGTTGACCTTAGGTTTGAATTGTTTAAGATTGCAATGGTCAAGGAAGCATCCTCTCAGGAGTATGTTAAACAAAGTAGCAGCTCTTGGCAACAAGTTGTTCTTATGGAACTTCCTTCTTACCAATGGAATACGAAGAGAATGACGATGGTTTGCCCCTGTCTATATATCGGGTCTTAACTGTGAAAATCTTAACTAGTGAAACTAGAGAATGTAGATCGTTAGAATATTTTTCACCAAAGTAGCGATGCGGGGGCGGACGTACGACGTTGTATCTTTGCGCGTATGTGGTGGGATGTAAGGTGAAAAATAATCAGATTAGAGATCAATCAGATTGGAGCTCGAACAGATTGGAACCCGATCAAATTAGAGCTCGATCAGATTGTAGCTCGATCAGATTGTAGCTCGATCAAGATATAGCTCAATCAGATCAATTTAGAGCCCGATCAGATTGGAGTGATTACATTAAAGTTCGCTCAGATTGGAGCTCGATCAAATTAGAGCTCGATCAGATTAGAGCTTGATCGGAACGTGATCAGATTAGATTTCGATCAGATTAGAGCTCGATCAGATTAAAGCTCGGTCAGATTAGAGCTCGATCAGACTGAAGCTCTATTAAATTAGAACTAGGTCGGCTTCCAGGTGCTTGTCTTTGGGCGTGTACTCATAAACTACGGTATCATCTTCATAGATATTTACTAACCATCTGAGAATGTTCTAAAGCAAATTATTAATTTAAAACAGAAAATGGGTGTGGCCGATTCGTCCGATGGGCTCTCCGTTCGTCTTCAGATATTATATTCAATATTTAACAACTGATTTTAATGTAAAATCTTTCATTTCTACCCGTACTTTCTCATTTTGCATCTTGTTACACCCGAAAACAGCTCTTCACAATGAACACTAGAGTCTTCATCGCGGCCATTTTTTGTATATTAAAATGAATCTCATTTTCATGATGATCATCAGAATTATGAGACGAAATAGAAGACATTTTCTTATCTACCCGTGACATCACTGTACTTTAATAACTCTTCTTCGTTGCCGGACAAGGGATGAACAACCGGACTTTATTACGAGAAGAATAGAATAAAGTCCCACGTTGAACGGGGGTGCTAGTCATTTCCTTAACAAATAAAGTCAGAACACGTCACGGAAATATAAATACTTGCAGATCAAGCAAAGGAATCCCGGAACAGCTAGAATTTAATAGAAATTCAACATTTCACGGATATTTTTTTTTCAAAGCTAATATTTAAAGCGGGGATTTGTACAAATAAACGGTGCTTCATTATTTTTCTCTAGAAAATGATTCGCAAAGTCCATCAATATCATGACAGACGTTACGACTATTACATACCCAGCCGTTTACAACTGTTACATACCCAGCCTTTTACAACTGTTACATACCCAGCCTTTTACAACTGTTACATACGCATTATATTACGACTGTTGTATATACATCCGTTCTTATCTAAAACATGATAATGCATCAGTAGTTGCTCTAGAGAAGTGAAAGTCATATTGCTTATCTGAAAGAAGACACTACGAGGTGAGATAATTAATTAACCAATTCAGAGTTGATTAGAGCTTGTAGTACTTTTCAAAAATGTGGTAGAAAACTAGTAATTAGAAGATCATATAATTCCCCTTAATCTTTAGACTAAAACTACAGAAGAGGATTTCCAACAGTAAAGCAAGAAGCAACCAGGCATTTATCGCAAAGTTCAAAGAGAATAGGAGCCAGTTCAGGGGTCCCTTTCTTAAGGACTTTTGATACCATCAACTCCATATGATTTGAGAGAATCCAGTTTAGAGATGATAGCAGAGACCATGGATGGAGTTATATACAAACCACGCAATAGAGACTCAGTTCCATATGTGTGTGTGTGTGTGTGTGTGTGTGTGTGTGTGTGTGTGTGTGTGTGTGTGTGTGTGTGCATGTTCTTAGATTGGCGTGGTCAAGTATCAGAATAAATAAGGAAATAGAATAACTAAAAGAGTCTGAACTTTTATTCCAAAACGGTAAATTTTAGCAAAATCTCTTTATTATTTTCGAATTACGAATGTAAATTTACACCTAAATTTAACTATTTGGGAATTTTTTATTAGATACTTAAACTGCAAATGACTAATATTGAATTGCATTAGTTCGAATTAGTTTTTAGAATGTTCTAAATATCGAAGAGTGAAGGTCGTTAAAAAAGCGGTGTCTTGTGAAAAATCGTCCTTTCGTTACTCCGTTTTATTGCGAGCATTTTTATCCATGTTTGCTGACTAACAAATTGCCAAAAAGCATACACTTACGAAGATGCTGCCTCTATTTGACATTCGAAATTCTCTATATCTGGTCTTCCGTAAGAAATGTTGGCACAAGAGATCGAACTCACCTCATCTCTTTCAGCAACGAACCAAATTCTATCGTCTTCAGAATCATGCTAATCTCTGCTGCGTCGTTATATTCGGTGCTTTGTCTTTGAATCTCCTTCAAAGCTCAAATTACCATTTTCATCTGAGACAATCGACACCGGCGCAACATTCGCTCGACATCCGCTCGACCACCATCCACACCAGCAACCATTCTTAGAAAAAAAATCACCATCTCACCGCCGGCTGCAGCCGATTTTTCGTCCGTAACGCGTTCCTTATTAATTAAGAAGGCTACTTAGTGCTTTCCCCCCCCTTTCGAGTTTCTCAGATTTAATCTCTGCTCACCGTTTTAAGATTAAGATAATCCCTTAATCCAATAAGATTAATGCTTGATGTTTTCGTTGCGAAGAAAAGAGACAACGCACGCACACACACACACATTATGAATACACACACACACACACACACACACACATATATATATATATATATATATATATATATATATATATATATATATCATTTGCCTTGATAAAGTTCGACAAAAAAAAAAACGTGTCGGCTAGGAATAGTTTTTCTTGTCTTTTATTCATTTTCTTCCTTTACAGATTCACACCATTTGAAAATAATTTACACACACACACACATACATACATACATACATACATACATACACACACATATATATATATATATATATATATATATATATATATATATATATATATATATTTCATATTGTGTTATATTTTATCAGATAAGCAATTTTTTTACAATAAAAGCCCTATTAATGAAGAAATATTCAAATTTTCCGTATACGCTAAATATAGCATATCGATTTAAGTGTGTAGTACCTGTTTTTATTTCAAATATTTGCATTGACTTATTGGAGGAGGGTAGGATTTTCTTATGCATCTCGGGCGATTTTCCGCATATTTTAAATAAATATATATAATAGTAAAGTTAGTGATATTTTATGTATAATAAAACAGATAAAATCTTAAACTAGAAACAAGATTTTCTAATTATAATATGATGGAAAGACTATTTTAGAAATTGCAAAAAACTTGAATAGAGATCTAAGGCCAATAAAAATAAATACAAAAATCTTAAGATATGAACAAAATATGGCCCCCAAAATTGTCATCAATAGAGATTTTAAAATGGTTTTAAAAAAACCGAAAGCAAGGGAAATAGATCAAGATGGTTCCTATTTTTTTTTAATATAAACAGAGAAAAATTCTACAGATGAAGATGATTGTCTAATATCATGAAAGCAACTATTAACATGAAAGCTAATAATGTTTCACCGTCACAGGGAAGACTCTCCCACCACTTTGTTTTCTCAGTTCGACTGAACGGTTTTATGCTCAAGGAGGAGTCTCCTTACTTGGAACATCTACTGAGACACAAGCGTGGAAAACGTATATACGATCTATCGCTGAAGATGTTGGAAAAAGGTTTCATGTACCGATCCAGAAAGTACTTGTCTCCTCTTGCCATGATCTACCTTTAAAAGCGACGCATCAGACTGAAAATGGCGTCCTGCTGCCATATCTACGCTGGAGCTGACAATACTCACTTTCCATCTTTGACCGAGTTCAAAATTATTTACGCAGCCTTGTGGAGGATTAATTGCTTTCCATCCTACAACTCTTTCCACGTAGACGAAACATTGATAGCCTCTCGAAAATCTATCACTTTTTCAATCCCAAAGGTTCAAACGATTCTTTCGTCGCACCAGTTCAGACCTTCACAGCTAGGACCCCCATGCCACACATACACGATCTAATCATTCTTATTCCCTTCGTATTCCATTTGTAAGAAAGAAGTTCCATTCGGACAGCTCCTTCCCAAGAACCGCTACTTTTGGGAATAGACTCACGGGAGGATGCTTCCCCGTTCAATACAACCGTGACCACTTCAAGTTTAGGGTTAACCGTTTTCTATCCGATTTAAGCTTATAATATGCACCTGTTACACCCTACTTGTACAACCTTACAACAAACTCTACCTTGAGCGGCACTTGGGCTTCGTTTTGGGTGAACAAAAGTATAAAAACACCATATTTAACTAAGCAACACTAAGAGAAGCGAGAAAGTTACTCAAAGAAGTACAAGAAAACTGATTTCTCAGGTTTAGTAATGAATGTAGAGTTACATTGAATGGAAGATTTCCCTCTTCATTTAAATAGTATTGACTTTGAAATTAAGAACATATAATGAATTATTTTCCGGGGTTAATAGGTTTGTAGAATATGAACAATATCGTGAAAAATAGTAAAATAGAAAAAAAATAGAAAAATAGTAGTGAAATTATAGTTTCCTTCAAATCTTGCGAGAGTTTTAAGATAAATACAAAGAATTATTCTAATTTCCTACACATATTAAATGAGGTCTGGTCACAACAAAAACTTTCTTCATATAAGACAATTCTTGTTCATATTCTACAAACCGAATTATTGTCTACAGTGTCAAAAAATGATTCTAAGACACTAAATTAATGGAATGGTAAGATGATGCAAATAATGTTCAAGTTGAAAAACTATGAAAGTTAACAAAATCACTGACTGAAAATTTGATGAATGTCATAGAATTTCAGAAGTCCGGATTAATACGTAAAACAATAAAATAATAATTCATTCCTGTACGCGAGAAAATGTGTCAGTATGTTCCTGTGGCCTAAATATTTTGCCTTCATTTATAAATATTCATTTATGACATATAGTGTCTGCATAAATAAACCTAACACCATCCCGAACAAAATAATATCAATATCTTTAATATGTATTGATAATATAAACTGAAACACACACGACTTTTCGTTCATATAAATTAAATATTAATATATCTTAGAAATTTTGTTTTTTTTAAGCATATAAAAGAGTCTGCAAAAGGAGGAACATATTAAGTATTATTATTAATGGTCTTATTGATATATGTGTATAATCAATACGTTTGTGCGCACGTTTTTCTAAGTTTTTAATCAGTTCTCATATGTCGTCAACTTAACGACGCATTTTAACGCTTCCGATTATCAAAGTAGCCATTAATTTGTGGAATGACAATACGAAATATTTCATGCATGACTGCCACAATGTTTTGCACCTGCGCAGAATGAAACAATTTTTATCTTTACTGCGCATTATTCAGTAAATAAACCTGTTTATTCCAATCTTATATATCGATAAAAAAAACATGAAGTGGATAATAATGCGTGACGCAAGAGAAGTAATAAAATAAATTATACAAAGGCGTAGATTTTTAATTAGATTTATTTAAAATAAAAATCTTTTTTTATTGATGCACACAAAGTGAGCAGCTAGTGTAGAGTAGTGACGTGTAGAAGTCACGTGATCCATTGTTTAACGTTGATCTTCCTGCGAGATTCAATAGAGGAAGCTACAAATAAAAATTTGGTTTACTTCCAAAAAAACTTTTCCTTTTTTTCAGGAGGTGCAGTGGTCTATCTCTCTCTCACCTGTTTCACATTCTCTCTCTCTCTCTGTCTGTGTCTCTCTGCTGTTTCTCATTCTCTCTCATTATCTCTCTCTCTCTCTCTCTTGTTTCATATTCTCTCTCTCTCTTATTTCTTATTATCTCTTTCATTCTCTTTCTCATTGTCTTTCCTTCTGTTTCATATTCTATCTCTATCTTTCTCTTTCTCCCTCTCTCTCCAATTTTCCTTCTGTTTCTCATTCTCCCTCTTTCTTTCTCTTTCTTCTTCTCTCCTTCTGCACTCTCATTACCTTTCTTTCTCATTCTCTTTCCCAATCCCATCTATAATTCAGATAACTGTGTTCATTTTAATTCCACTGAACCAATATTTCAACTGCTATATATAACCAATTTTATTTTAATTTTTAAGAAAATCATTATATATATATATATATATATATATATATATATATATATATATATATATACTCTGACTGGTTTCCCCATTTTGATTTTAGAGTCGCGAGCCATATGACTTTGGACAGAATCGCTGGTTAAGCGGGTCTAATTACCGGGCGGGATTAAATCCAGTCCTGTTCTGATAGTGTAAAATGTCATAAAAAGATGTCAAAGTTCAGAAAAAGAAACAAGCAACATCAAAAGGAGAAGCTATGATAAAATTATCTTATACGAGTTATCTCCCCGTGACATAGATTTCGCGCTTACACCAAAAGATTATGGTGATTCCACGTTGTTGGGATCCATTAAAGCTTTTTGAAATCTAACCAGAGTGTGACGATCTACATCTCACACACATGTGACGTCGTCCCCCGGTCGCTGCGTCGACTGTGTCGTTCGATCCCGGTCGCGGCGCCAATTGTGACGTCACGTGCTCCCCAGGCTCTGATATCCTGGTCACGGACAGCACCAACTCTGAGGTCTTTGCCGCGGCGTCAGCTGTTCGCTCCTCGCTGCTCCAAACGTGACGTTCTAACCCTTTGGTTAGATTGATACCAGCCTCGCCGTTCCCAACCCGCTTCCAACGCCTGGTTACCAGGGTAACTGCACTGATCTCCAGTCTGCCTACCCACGTTGTGAATTGATCTTAGACAGACAAGATCAAACAGGGGTTGGGGCCGTAATGCAAGTTGGGTCTAACGGGGGTGATAACACACAATTATGTATAAAAGAAAATAAAGTAAAAAACTCACAAGGTCCAACGTATCAAGAAAAAGGTAACAAACTTTTTATGTCTAATTGCTCGGTACATAGGACTATGTCTACTTCCCGACCCGTTCTGTGGATTGTGGCACGACGCTTTTACTAGGCAACTTTAAGGCTTCCAGTTGTCTGCTCTCTAAGAAATTTGTGTTTCGGTGTGTCTTTGGACGAAAGTCGAAAAAAACTTATTTCTGTGGTCTGATTCTAAGTCGCTCTTCAAACTACTTGTTCTTTGGTTGAAGAATAGTCCAGAAGTGTGCGTGAATCTTGGTCAGCTATCTTGACGCGGTTTCAACACTGGGCGCTCATCCCTGCTTGTCGTCCACGGCTGAACTCTTTCGCCGTCCGCGGCTCAACTCAAACTTCTTCTCTTCAGAGTCTGAATTACTGGTCACTCATCTTCGCCATCGGTGCGTGAACTAACTTCTTCTCTTCGGCTTGGGTCGAACGAACTTTTTCACTTAGGCCAAACGAACTGGCCTCTCTTGCCCGCAAAGGGGCGAACGAACCTGGCCCGCCGTCCGCGGCTCAAACTCAAACTGATTTCTGTCGG